TGGCAAGAATCAACACTCTTTCACAGTAAAAAGTATAGAAGGTTTGTCCTCAACCTGGTAATGGCTGTCTCTACACTTTGTAATAAAAGGCCCATGGCCTTCCTGCTAAAACGAGGAGCAAAGCAGGAATTTTCACATTAACAACTCTACTCCAGTGATATCCAGCCAGTCTTATAAGACAAGAAAAGAGAACTGTGAGCAATGAAAGCTGGAAAAGAAGAGGTAAAACTCGTTACCTGTAGATACACTATTGCCTTAAAAAAAAAATCCAATCTAATAGAATCCAGGGTACTAGAATTAATAATAGCTAAGAATAACTATTTTCTAAATGTGAGGTCACAGCGTAGATGGTCGATATATAAAAATAAAAGGATCTAATATCTAGAACCATACAAAGTTAGGATTTAAATATAACGAAAGAGGTATGAGATGCCAACACCTTGAAGAATGGCTAAGAAAAGGTAAAGAGGCATCAAGTCAAATGGAAAGATACATTATGTTTAGTAGCTGGCAGATGCTTCAGTAAGAAGATACTGTATTGTTGTTAGGTTCAAAATGATCTATAGTTTCTATAAATTCTAGTCAAATCTCCATGAGCTTTGTGTTAGATCATTAACAAAGAAATTCTAAAATTTATACGGAAAAGCAAAGGCCTCTGAATCGGACAATTTTGGAAAAAGAAAAATGAACACAATTGTAAGGCTTATATAGCCTGATTTCAAGGGTTACTGTGAATCATGGTAATCAAGACTGTGTGGGTTTTGGGTAAACTGCAAGTCAATGAAACAGATGAGCGAGGATAAAAATAGGCCTACATTTATAGGTTCAGTTTTTGACAAAGGCACTAAGATAATTTGATTGTGAAAGAGGAGTCTTTTCAATGACAAGTATGAGAATAATTGGACATTCACTCAGAAAAAACCCAAACCTGAAATCCTCTGCCATGCTGGATAAACACATTGAGATCATGGTCCCCCAATCTTTAGAGCCATGAAGTTGGTGAAGGTTACCTGGGTGACGTACAGAAAGCATTTTGTCAAAAAAGTTGAAGAGAGAAAAATTGTATTTCATTAGAATTAAAATCCACACATTAAAAACACTAATAATAAAATGAACAGCAAGCCACGGACTTGGAGAGAATATTTACAGGGCATGTAGCTGACCAAAGAGTCCTCCTGCAGGATCCATGAGGATGAACTAGACTGCTGGAAGGCTTAAAAAAGGGCTGGAGGTGTCAGCAAAGAGGTCATATATTCAATCCCCAGTACAAAAAAGACAAGACAAGGAAAAAAAAAAACTGAAGGATGAATAAACTAAGAAAAAGCGGCGAAGACTTGAGCGGGCATTTCAGGAGGGGCAGTAAGTAGATAAACAAGTGTGCAATATGTTAGTCATCAGGGTGTAGTAATGAAAACCACAATGAGGTATCAGCTTGCATCCAGCAGAACAGCTAAGATTTTAAAACCAAATGAGGTGAGGGTGTGGGGCAACCAAAACTTTCCACTGTGCTGGTGAGGGGGTTAAACAGCCCAACCACTCTGTAAACTGGCTTCACAAACACAACCTACTGATGCCCATGACTCAGCAAATACCTAGCGTTCTGGGATCTGGAACCCTACAGATTTACTCAACAAAAATGAAAACATGCCCACGCAAAGATGAGTGCAGGAATGTTTAGAATGGCTTCATTCATAATACCCACCTGTAGGAGGAATCGATAGATTGTAGTAATAAAAAAGAAATGCACTTCCTAGAGCTACTGACAGCTACAGCAACCTGGGAAATCTCAGAAACATATGGGGAAAAAAAAAAAAAAAAGAAAAGAAAGAAACAAGTGGAACAGGAATCTAGACACAAGACATGTTCATATGATGGTTCTGGGTGTGTCAATCTGTCTAAAAGCCCTAGCTATGTAAGAGGGAAGACATCACAACCATGGTTGTCCTGGGTGGGCAGAATGGGACTGTCTGGGATGGGCATGAGGGAACTTTCTAGGGCACTGAAAAAACTATAGCTTGATGGGCTCTGGGTTACATTTATCAAAGAGATTTTAACTTTTTAAAAAATCTTTTATTTATTTGGTACAGGGTCTCATTTTGCAGCTCAGACTTGCAGTGACCCTCCTGTCTCAGCCTCCCCAGCACTGGGATTATGGCAGTGGGATTATGGCCTGTGCCACCACTCCTGGACTCGGTGGCTGGCATTGCATGCAGTACTGGGAATCAAAGCCGGTCCTTGCACTTGACAGGTAGGCGCTTAGGTCACCAAGCTATCTCCCTAACCCCAAAAAGATTTTAACTGTTGACTGTACATTGAGGAACTATACATTTCACAAGTGTGCAAATTATATCTCAATTTAGAAGAGATAGCAGAATGGGTTTTGCTTGATCCCTCTAATGCAATACAGTGCTCCCACACATTTGAAATTGGAATGATTTCTCAGTGAATTTGGGGAGGGGTAGAATTCCAGCCTATGCTCTGAGGATGAACTCAAACCTGTCTCTGCCCTTGGCATTGCCTACACCTGAGAATCCCATCTACCAATAAAAAAAGACTAGGCTCTGCTAACATAGACAACATCTGTGTTCATTTCCTTGCACTGCCAGTAATGAGTTAGCACAGGCTGGGGGCCTGAAACAATAGATATTTATTCTGAAATAGTTCAGGAGATCAGAAGCCCAAAGTGATAGCATCATCCAAGTGTTAGTGGCTCTGGAAATCCTTAGCATTCATTGGAGCATTAGTCACATTTGTGTTACTATAACAAAATTCCTGAGGCAGACATCTTTGTAATGAAAGAGGTTTCTTTTGTGTATGGTTTGGAGGCCAAAAGTCCCAGACTGGATAGTCTCATTGATTCAGCCTCTGGTGAGGGCCTCCTAGTGGAAGGAAGTGCAGGAGCATGAGATCACATCTCCAGACAGGTGATACAGAGAGTGATACAGGGGTCAGACTGGCTCTCTCTCTCTTTTTAAAATGCATTTAGTATAGGGGATACAGGGTCTACAGGGTCTCACTATGTAGATCAGACTTATAGTGATTCTCCTGTTTTCAGTCTCCGAAGTGCTGGGATTACAGGTGAGCGCCACCATACCGAGTCTCAATCACAGTCTCAGTGAGCCCTGGGGGTGGGGCAGGCACGCTGGGGATTGAACCCTGGCCACTGTACTCTGCCAAAGCAGGTGCTTTAGTCTGCTGAGCTATCAGGCCAGCCCTAGACTGGCTCTTAATATCTCTGTTCTCTCCAGTCCCTCAGTCCCTTGTGAGGGCTGCAAATCCATGGCCAAAGGCCCACATGCTGGGTACCTCCTTTTCAAGGTTCCACACCATTTCCCAATGCCATTACCCTGGAGACCAAAATTCCAATGTGTGAACGCATGGGGGACACTCTAAATCTAAATCATGTGTCTACAGATGTGTCTCTAAACATTGCATGCATTGTGACGTGGCCGTCTTCCCTAAGTTCTCTGTACATCTTTTCTTCTCTTTTATAAAGAGAAGAATCAGGCCTGCCCTTATCCAGGATGTCTTGACTTTGACTTAACTAAGAAACATCCTATTTCCAAATAAGGTCTCAATCTGAGATACCCATAGACACAAAATCTGGGTGACATCATCTAACCTATCAGTGTATCCTCCAGCCCACCAGATTCCAGTGGGGGTAAAAAGGGAAGAACACCTTCAGGAGCAGCCTGGGGTGTTCAGGGGCACCTTGAACAGGAAGTGCAGATAGTGAAGGAAAACACTGAACAGCAAACGCCACACCTGTGTGCTACAACCCCAGGGGACATGGGAGATTCTGGGGCGCTGTCATCCTGGACTGGTGTCTGAGAATCCAGATGCCTCACTACAACTTGAAGACCCAAGAGCACATGACAATGCTTGCTAGTCCTGTCTTAGTTGCTTCTCTCATCCTGGGACAAAACACAAGACTCCCACAAGTTAAAGGAAGAAGATTCACAGTTTGAAGAGGTTTCAGTGCATAGTGGACCAGCTCCAAGCCAGGGCGGTATGGCGGAGGGGCACAGAGGAGGAACAGCTACTCACATGATGGTATCCAAGAAGCTCAGGGTGAAGGGATGAGCCAGGAGGGGAGCTATAACCTTCTCAGCCACGCCCACTGTGCGTGCCTGCCTCTTCTAGTCAGGACCCAGGGCCTAACAGCAATGGGCTATCAGCCCCTCTAATCCAACCACTTCATAAAAGGCCTGCCTATGATCACATGAGGCTTTAGATATAAACCATAACAAGTCCTTAGGAAAGAGGGCATGGGGACATGCAGGGTACAAGCTCATGTCCATGGCAGAAGCAAAAGGTCACATCCTCACTCTGCTTTAGAGCTGCTTTTAATTACTTTTTTCCAGAAAGGAGTTCTGGCCATTTCCCTTTCTCCAGCAGAAATGAACCTTTAGTGGATAAAGAATCAATTCCCAGCCCCCAGACCTCCAGCACATTCAGATAAGGAGTTGGCTTTTTGTAAAATGAGTTCCCAGTGCACCCACCAAGCTCCCTCCCCTCTCAAGACATCCCCATTTGAACCCATTCCCATTCAGTTTTGTCCCATCAAGCCCTGCTCCTGGGAAAGGCACACAGAGCAAGACACAGAGGGGTCAGCTGCCTTGTTCAGTAAGCATTTCCAGCTATGGGACGCGCATCCTCCTGACCACAGGGACTTGGGGGCCTATGTGGCAAGCCCCAGCCACACACAAGCATATCTGGCTCTTTGCAGGTTTGTAGCCTCTCCTCCTCCTCATTCAGATTTCAGCAACTGGTCATGATTAATGTGTCCTTGTCCTCTGAGCACCTATTTGGAACCATTAGAATAACTGTTTCCAGTCTAGGAAAGCCAGGCACTAGAGGGGGCCCCAAAATCACCACTGCTGGGCTGGGGTGCAGCTCAGAGGTAGAGCACTCGTCTAGCATCTCATCTCCAGCACCATAAAAGGAGAAAATCAGAAACAGCAATAGTGAAAATCAGGAAGGAAAATAACACTACTTACTGAGAGAAGAGCTGTGTGGAGGGCCGAGCTGGCCTGGCGGCTTCTACATGTCCAGCCTTATCAGATCAGTGCTGAAGCCCTGCAGAAACAATGAAAGACACCTTATTACAAACATTCAGTTAACGTTCAGCGTCTGTCCCAGTCCGCTTCACTGTCCACATGGGTATCTCAGAGTGGGTGGCTCAGACAAGACAGATTCCCAGTCTCAGGGCTGGACACGAAGCCCAGGACCGAGGTTTCCGAGTGGGACCTGTCCATCTGCCACCTGGGGTGGGCCCTCAGGGCCTTGTGCTCTCAGAAGGGGGTCTGGGGAGGGTGTGGGGATTATAGGGGTGCTGCAGCAGATCTGCTTTTGGGGGAGCCTGGACAGAGGTGGGTTGCTGGGGGCGTGACCTGGAAGGGTAGAGGTCCCTCCCTGGCTGCTCCATCCTCTCCCTGCTTCCTGGCTGTGACAGTGTGAGCAGCTGCGCCCCCACCATGCCTCTCTGCCCCCACCATGCCTCTCTTCCCCCACCATGCCTCTCTGCCCCCACCATGCCTCTCTGCCAGGCCATTTTCTGCCTTGAAGCCACTGACTGAGATCTTGAACCAAACTAACCCCCTTCTCCTTTAAGTTATGAGTGTCAGGTGTTGTGTCCTAGCTACAGGAAGGCGACTGAGACAGGGCTCTCTCCTCTTGTGGCCTTTTCTTTGTGTATCTAAACTCTGGGCTCTCCTTTTCCCTCTCCCCCTCCCTCTCTCTCTTAATAATACACAATTGCCGTAACTGGTGGGGCAGGTCTGTAATTGCAGCATGCTGGAGGCAGTAGGTTCTCAGATTTGAGCCCAGCTTGGGCAATTTAGCAAGACCTTATTTTTAAAAAAATAAAAATTAGACTGGGGATGTAGCTCTGTGCAAAGGCCCTGGGTTCAACACCAATAATGAAACAAACAAACCCAACAAGCCCTAGTTCTTGCTTTGGCAGCAAGTATACTAAAATTGGAATAATACAGAGTGGATTAGTATGGTCCCTGCACAAGGATGACATACAAATTTGTGAAGCAGTTTTTTTTTTTTTAATACAGTTCTGTGTGATTTGGGTTCCACTTTTACAATCTGATTTAAGGGAGGCCCTGTCTCCAAATATGATCACAATAGCAGTTGGGGATCCAGCATATGTATTTGGAGGCCATGATTCAAGTCATAATAGCAATTCAACATCCCACATCCTTCTCCCCCTATGGGATGCAGGAATCTAACCTGGCTCTTAAAAAAGTAGACTGCGTCTGACAGAACCCCAAGAACACATCCTTTTTGGCAGTCTTTCCAGCAATGCTGCGATTACCCCATGTTTTATGGAGCCTCCTCTCTGAACTATGAGTCCCACAGCTTGAAAGACAACTGTAGAGGGTGGGACCCTTCCCTGTGTGGGCAGGGGCATGGTCACTGTGCTGCGGTTGCACCCACATTGTAGCCCCGAGGACTGACTTTACAATTCCCATGTCACTGTGTACTGCCCGTGCTGCCACTTTTGCAAAGAGCCAGGCTGGAGCAGTTCTGGTTTTGGATGGGGTCAGGGTGCCCTTCCCCATGGGGACCGCTTGGTAGCTTCTGACATATCCCTGGGGCGCCATGCGACAACCACCCACAGCCTCAGAAGCTCTGTGGATCCTTTCTGTGCCTCCCAAGCCCTGAATTCCAGAGAAGCCCTTGTCACAGTGGATGGCATTTCTCAGTTCATCTGTGTCTTAGTATCCTGTTGCTGGAACACAATACCCAATACTCAAAATTTAGAGAAGGAAAGGCTTATTTTGGTTTGATTTGTAGAGGTTTTGGTCCATAGTTGGCTGGCTCCTGAGTATCATGCCCCATGACCCACTCATAACCCAAAAACCCCACCTATGAGCACCCGAGGCTTTGGGGGACCATCTAAAACAAGCCTTAACAGCCCATGTGTCTTCACTCAACAATTTGCCTTGGAAGGCAGGAGCCTCCTCTGGGCACCAGCAGCACTGAGGCCCAGGTCACAGGTCAGTGCAGGTGCTCTGGCAGTGTGTGCCAAATCTCTTAGTGGCTTCTAACTGGTACCCTGACCCCATCCAAACCCAGAACTGCTCTTTGCAAAAGTGGCAGTGCTAACACCGTTGGACCTGCTGCCAATGTTCTCCTCAGCACTGAAGCCCTTCCTGCAGAATTCAGTGGGATTGTATCTCCAGAAGTGCCAGGGCCTCCATTAGCACTACAAGGAGCTACGGAGGAACCACAGGCCCCCCTTAGCAAGTGGAGAATTTCTGGGTGCATATTTTGCCCATTAATGGGCTTCTCCATGGGGTGGGACTCCTGTTGTCACAGTGCAGTGGGCTCAGTGCTACCCCCTCCTTCATCCGATTTCCCTGCCACACCATTCTTGTCCCTAGCCACTTCCAGCTGAATGACTTGCATTCATATCCTTGCCTTGTAGAGTGATTTAGGGGGAACCCAAACTAAGATGCACTCTGGAATGGAGGTGGGGTGTGGGTCTGGGGGTGCTGAGTGCTATTGCATGACCTGGTAGAGCTGAGCAGAGCACAGTGAGCTGCTTCCAGAAGAGGGCTTCTGTGTACCAGGGACCCAGCTTGTATGTGTAAGAGCGGAAGGGGACAGCACCCTATTAGCAGAGTGCAGATCCCCAATCTCAAGCCAAAGGCTCGAGAAGACAGACATGTCTCATTTCTCAGGAGGAAGAAGGTCAGAGTCCATCCATATGGAAAGAGGAATAAGGACCTGGATGGTACAGGAGCTGACTCTGAATGGCCCTGGGATGCTCAGGTCTGTGCAGAGACAGCAGTGATGTCACAGCCCCCGTGCTCCGAATTCCAAGCCTCCCAGTGCTGGGACATCCATCCCACAGCTCCTGGGGCCCTAGGAATAGCAGGCTGCACTGGCCCTGGGCTCTCAATTTGCAGTGCAAAGAGATGGGGTTATTTTTATTTCTGTGCCAAGTGCAGTAGAGCGTATTTTTTTTTCCTACAAGAAACAATCAAAAGGGAAGGCCAAGCATGGAAAGGCAGGCAGAGTCTTATACTGGAGAATCTTAGCTGAAGTCACAATTCTCTCGGCCAGGCTACCTCTTGGCAATTTTAGGACAGATCCTTACACTGTCTGCCACTCTCCCTCCCTTCCCCTGAGCCTGGATCTGTGATGTTCTACTTACGGAAAAAAAGATTTGGTGCTGGTGTCGGCCCGGACCTATCTCTTGGGACACTCATTCATTCTTGGACCCAGATGCCATGGTGGGAGGAAGCTCCAGCAGCTGAGAGAGGCTTGTGTAGGTGAAATCAAGATCCCCAACCCCAGACCTGGCTAAGCAACCAGTCGGCAGCTGGCAGCAATCTGCCTGCCTGTATGTGCACCATTTTGGAAGGGGTTCTTCAGCCTCTAGCCAAGCCACACCACAGATGCCACATAGAATAGACAGCTGTCCTGACAGGCACTGCCCACATTCAGATTCACCGGCTGAGTAAGGATGAATCTGAGTTCAGTTATTTGAAGCTACCAAGCGTTGGGTGCTTTTTATATAACAAGACACAACGATAATTCTCCCTCTGTGCCTTAGATAACTGCTTGCCCTCTCCGGGCCTCCAGTTCCTCACCTGTGAAGAGACAAGAATTGGAAGGCTCTGGCATGCATCTCAGTTCATATAGTAGCAAAGCCCTTCGACATGTATCATCTTTTCTGGTTTTCCCATAATACATAACGCTCTTCAACTCATTAAAAAATCTCCCCCCCCCAAAGTACAAGGGCACTTTATACCAGTGCTTATTAAAGCAAAGGGAGGCTTCCGACCCCCGTTGGATCTTGTGGAACCCAGAGTCCTGCACAGAAGGCCAGAGGAAGACTGAGAATCTGCACTGTTAACGCGATCCGGGGGCACTCGTGGCTCTTTGAGTAACAAGGCTCTCTCTGCTCCAGGGACAGCTGCCATTGCCCATGGGATGGAACGTGCGAGGGCAGCATCCCCTTTTGTCTTTGTGATAGCTCTCTGGGGAAGGCTCTGCAATTGATTTCACTTTACAGATTGGAAACCCAACATCTGGAGAGGTCAGGTGACTTGTCCCAGGTCACATGAGTGGCTGTGTGGCCAGATTTGCATAGGCGCTCGCTTTCCTCTGCCTCTTCTGAGCACCAGGGAAAGTGAGATTAACCATTTTGTTTTTTTAATCTCACCTTTCCGTGCCTGCAGCTAGGCAGCTGGGGATGAAAATCTATCATAGAAGAGCCGAAATGGGAACTCAGTAACATACCAGGAATAACAAAGCGGAGTTAACAAAGATAGAGGTGACTTTTTCAGGCTCCCTATCACCAGCCGTGATTAATTTACAGCTTTTTGCATGCTAATGTTTCCCTGCCTTCTGCCAGTAATAAATAACCAATAAGCTCTAATACCTAGTTATTATTCATCCGTTTCAGATATTTGGATTTTGATTCTTCACTGCAGTTCAATCACATTGAATTTCTTTAACCAGGACAGCTCCATTAAGAGTCCCCTGCAAGGACATCCTGCCAGGACGGTGACAGTAATGGATAACGGGTGACAAGAGAGAGTGGGGAGTTGCAACACGAAATATTGGCAGCCGAGGGGGAAAAAGGAGAAGCTGTAATAAAAAGTACCACCAAACTCCACTTAAGTAATGTCAGGGTTGTGACACAGACCGATAAAACCAGGGAACTCACAGTTGAGGCTGACATGCCATCCTTAACATGCCTGTTTCTACAGCAGCAGCACGAGTCTGTTTAATCACTGCCTGGCACTGAGTGCACCCCAAGTCCACCGTAGTGAGTTAGAGCAGCTTGCAAGCCCCCAACAGTGCATTACAGAAAGTTACTTGGAACTTTCTCCATTTTAATTTCCTCAAGAGTGTTTTCAAGGCCAAGAAGACCAATCCCACAGGCAAAGCGGGTCCACAGAATGGCTTGCTTCTAGAGTTCATCCTTGCTTCTCTAATCTAAGACCTTTCTGTCCATCCCCAATTCACTCAACACATGGCAACTTGACGATGACATCCCCCGTTTTGCCCTCTGCCTATCCAGGAACAGAGCATCCCTTCTGTGGCCTCTG